GGGGGGAAAAAAAGCAAGGAACCTAAAGGAATAAATAAACATGGCCTAAATGGGATGTGCTGTGCAGAGGCGCAGCCTGCCATAAATTCCTAGAGCAGCCAAGGCTTTTACGCGGCAGCTACTTTAGAGCAATTTCCACAAATCACGGGAAGGGACAGGCCAGGGGACAGGAGGAGAGGACCTTTACGGAGGAGGAAGAAAAATGAAGAAATTAATTAAACAGGGGCGTGGGGGAAAGGGATGAGGAAGTGCCTGACCACGAATGTCCATAGGGATGCCCAGGGGCTCCAAAGGTAGAGGGGATGGAGAACAGCCTTGGGATAAAGCCGGCAGCCCCTGGCCCCCAGCACATGCTGTGGGGGTTCCTGGGCTGGGGCCTCCCCCATACTGGGTCTCCTCCATGTCAGGAGCTGGGAACAGCCCCCCAGCAGCAGGTGGGCATGGACGCTTTCCCCAAATAACCCCCTTAGGGACCCGAAGTGAGAGGACAGACAGCAGGGGAGAGCCCCAAACCCCTCAGGAAGCAGAGACAGGACAGAAGCTCCTGAGGGAGAAGCCCCCAGCATCACAGTGTGGGGGCAGAGGCAATGCAATGACCCCCCCAAAGTCGCATGTCCTGCTCAGAACCCCCTGTCCCCCTCTCTGCCCCCTCCCACCATGGCCAGGAGCAGGAACATCTTCCCAGCACCCTCCAAATCTGACACCAAACATGCCCACCTGGCTGTGCCTTCCCTCCCCACTGCAACCGCCACCCCAGGCTGTCCCAAGTGACACGTTTCAGACTGATAAGATGCCAAATAATTTCCCCCCCCCGGTAACGTGTATCAGGCTGTGTTCAGAGCCAGAGCGGGATTCAATTCCAGAGGCACCCAAGGAACGCAAGGAACCACAGATAAACCCAATCCCAGGCCCCAGAGCCAGGGCTGGGGTCCCCCATCCACCCCAGAAGCAGGGCTGGGGACTTCACCAGCTCAGCACTTCGCTACCCAGCAAAGCAGCCCCAGCACCAAACCCACACAGCTCTGACACATCCCCTTCCTTTTTGAATTTAGCTGGTACCCAGGAGGAGTGAACCCAGCAGCCACACTGAGCTGGCAGGGGTGGGCAGTGCATTTCCAATCTTATTTATCTTCAAGAGGGAAAACATAGCTTTTCCTTAACATTAAATTAAAAATTAATTAACAACTTTTGCCAGTCCTGGGGAAGAGCCCAGTCAGGCCAAGCCCGTTTAATCAGGGCCAAACCTGCCCCACTGACTCTTGCAGGAGGTGGGAGGTGACAGCACCTGTAAGCGGGGTCAAAGCCACCCCAGCAGCACCCGCTCGGCTTTTAGCTGAGCTATTGAAAAATCAAGGATGGCAAATACTGTCCAAGTGATGGGAAAATGCTCACCAGCAGGAGACAGTGGCTTCATCAGAAGATTGCGAATTGCCTTGATTGTGGTATCCGCCTGGGAGGCCAGAGCAGCACGCGAGGGGCTTAGCCCCCAGCCAGCAGCAAGGGACGTGTACCCAGGTGGGAGCAGCAACATGTCAGGCAACAGCTTAAGGAAAAATGAAGGGACCAGTGCCCAGGAGAGCCACATCCCAAGGACCAGCCTCTACATCCCAAATCCAGGGGTGTCCGGGGGAGAGGTGACAGTCCATAAATCCCCCAGCCTGGCTGGTGCCTCCCCCAGGGTGGGGATTCCTGGGCCACCATCAAACATGACTGGGGGATCCCATTTCTCCCAATCTTCAGGGAAATGGTGAGCTCCAGCCTCCCTTCCCCTTGGCGAGGAGCACAGGACTGGCCTCACTTTGCACCACTGACCCTTTTCTCTTTCTGGTATTGCACACAGGACAAACTCACTGGGTGGGACCCCACTCTCAAAGGCACTAGTGGGGTCCCTGGCCCCATCACTACACCCCCCACCCCAGGAGCAGTTGCCTCCCTCCCCGGGGGGCTGCTCGTTAGCAGAGCCATGTATTTAATAATAAAAGACTCTGATTAGATTAGCGAGAGTGACCTTTTCCAGATGGATGGGATGCTCACACAGCGGCAGCGACGGGCGCCGCACAGGAGGGGAATGCGCCGGCAGCTTGCTGGTGCCCCCACACGCCCATCGTGGGCTCTTCTGGCCAGGCAATTGCAAGAGCCGGAAAAAAAAATAATTCAGATTATGCCATATAAGCACCCCTCCCTCACCCATCATGCCCCTGCATCTCCCGGGATGAGGCCACGTCCTGCTCCACCTCCCAGTTAAGAGCCTGGGGGCTATGGGAGGGGATGGAGCTGGGATGTGCTGGTGGAACATCAGGGATGCTCTGCAGGGACCCGGCTGGTTAGTTTATCCTTTCATCCCCTTTTTAGGATGCAGAGAGGCTGGGCAAGGAGGGACCTCAGCAGCTGGTCACAGTGGGGTGAATTAAATAGTAGCACTCACAAAAATCCCAAAATAGCCAGATTTCTAAGATCAGCTGAGCAATCCCCAGCCAGGGCGTTTTCGCCACCCAATGCCCTGCCTCAGTTTCCCCCAGCAATGAGGAGGGCTGAGCCCAGGGTGCAGCACCGTGAACACACAGAAGGATGGTTCTGGCCGAGAGGATTAAGGCACCTCAGGCGTCTCAAAATCCTGGGGCCAAACCCCACAACTGATGCTCACCAAAATCATGGCTCGGAGGATTTCCAGCATGCTGCCGGCAGCATGCCCCAACCTCTTCTCTTTCCTCAAGCGGGTAGAAAAAAAATGCAATTTCCTGGTGGGGTGTCCAATTTCACCCCCCCATGTCCCAGCAGAAGCATCCTGCTGGAATTTAAGATATTGGGATTGAGGGAAGATGGAGGGGAACTCTGCATGATTCCCTTTTCTGCGGCACCAAAGCTAAAACTTGTGCCAGGTTTAATCCAGCTCAGAGGCCAGATCCTGTCCTCTCACACACCTGCCAGGGTGAGGAAAGATCCTATTGCCTCTTCTGGGCTCCCAGCTGGAGCTGAGGGCGCTCGGCCACCCTCAGCCCATCGGCACAGCCAGGGTGGGGGCTGTTAAATGAGCCAACGCCGGGTGTGCAGTCCCAGTTCAGGCGTTAAATGGCAAACGCGGGGTGCACGTTCCCTATCTGGCAGCGAGTTATTGCACATCTCCACCTGCTGGTCTGGAACCCCCGGCCAGGAGACACTCCGAGCCGAAATGGGGATGGGGGGTGGTTTGCATTCCCCCTGCCGGGGTTGGGGTGTGCTGGCTGGAGCCCCCCACCAGGGATGGAGCCATGGGCCACAGCATCATCCTTTACCCCCAGCCCCACTTGCCCATGGCAGGAACGAGTGGCAGGAGATAGAGGGGGAGCGGCACAGCCCTGTCCCCATGGGCAGCAGGATGGAGGTGCTGGGGCTGCAGGATCTGCCACAGGACCCTGAGCCTGCCTCGCGTGCCGGGAGAGACGCTGGATATCCCCAGCACCCCAGAACCACTGCCTCCGGGCGAGGGCTGCCTCGGGGAAAGGGGAAACTGAGGCATGCTGCAGGGACAAGGCTCAGCAGGCAGCAGAGAGAAGACGCCAAAGTCCAGGCTCAACCCCACAGACAGCCCAAGTTATTTCGTAAACCGGTGTGTAAATCCTCCCCCGTGCCGCATCCCAACAGGTCCCTCACAGCTTCGCAGCACAACCGCGCTGAGCACAAGCCACCAGCACCCCGGGGCCCCTCTCACAAGCCCCAGGGCCACCCACCCGGGGGCCATCCCACCCCGGAGGTGCCACAAAACCCCTTTCTGGAAGCAGCTGATCCGGGGCCAGCAGCCAAGCAGCTCCCGGGGCTGGCAGGAGAGTGCAGAGAGGGAGAGGCTGGTGCTAAGGGTTGCTCTTAAATAAAAAACAAAGGAAAAGAGAATAAAAAACCCTGGGCAGGAGAGCAGGGTGCTGCTTCTCCGCAGGCTGACCCCCGCCACCAGCCTGAGCGATTTGTCAGAAAGGCTGGGAGGACTCGGAGCTCTCCGTCTCCTTTTCTGGCTCCCTCCAGGACCTTTATTTGTCCAGGAAAGGCTGAAGCGGCAGCGAGGGCAGCTGTGCATCCTGGAAAGAGCCTAAAAACTCCCGGCAGCGGCTTCTCTCCCTGCCAGCTCAGGCATCCCCCCACGGCAGCGCAGCGAGCTCCAGCCCCGCATCTGGCACAGGCCCCCCTCGTCTGCTTCACACCGGCATCACCACCACGGGGACCAGCCCCCCATCCCAAGGGCCAGATTCTGCCCTGGTGTAAACCTGAGGCCTGCCCCACCGGGCCGTTGGTGTCCCAGCAGCAACAGGGGGGGCTTGGAAACGCCCAGGAGGCGATGGGGAGCGGGGAGCCGCATCCAGCCCCCGCACCGGCAGCGATTCCCGATGGATCACCCGCACGGGGATGGATGTTTCCCGTCGGCAGCGCCCCCGCCATGGGGACGCGCCGGCCCAGAGCCCCGAGTCTCACCACTGGAAGGAGATCGCGCTCCCCGCAAACCCCGAGCGCTCTGCCCAGGGAACACCCAGTCTCGGGGTACAGGGGGGGCAGCACCTGCCCCCCCAAAGGATACTGTGTAAAGCTGCGGTGCCCGCCAGCCTGCGGCATCTCTGCTCACTGCTGGGGTCACACGGTTGGGGTTTTTTTAAGGATGGAAGCCCCCTGCCAGTTCCCTGCAATGCTGTCAGCATCCTCCCACCTCCTCATTTCACCCCTGGGGGTGAGCAGCTCCCCGAGCCCCTCAAAGAGCATCAGGGGGCTGCGGATGCCCCAGCCCGAGCCCCAGAAGTGCCTCAGCCACAGGCTGCTGGTGCGAAATGGAGCCAGGCATGGTCCAGGGACCACCTCCGGCTCCGGGGGGGTCAGCTGAGCTGGACAGCGCAGCCCCCAGCCCCTGGGACATGCTGGGCTGGCAGGAGGGGCCCGAGTGGCTCCCCCCAAACTGAAAGCAGGCCCCCACTTTCCACTTGGTCAAGCCAGATGCTGGGGAGAGCCGCTTCAGCTGGAGCATCTGTGGCGCTGGGGTTTACCTGGAAACCAGCCGGAAAAGCCATCCGCAGAAAACAGCTCCGTGTCCCCCAGGGTGAGGGACCCCTCTTTGGCCTTGCTCACCAAAAAAACAAAAAGCCCCCGGCATCCCCAGGGCTTTCACCGGGGCAGGCCGGGGAGCCACCACAGCTGGGCCATGGTAACTCAGGGCAAGTGAGCCCCGGCAGCGGGGGCCCCTCTGCCCAGGGCAGCCCCAAACCCCAAGGGGGGGACCAGAAAAAAAAGCAGAGGGATAGTAGAGGCTGCACCCCCAACCCCACACCCCAAAATGATGCCCCCTCAGCAATGCTCGCCCTGTGACCCAGCACAGGCTGGGAAAGTGCCTGGGTGCGGGTCTGGGGGATAAGGGATTGGATATTCGCGGATAATACACACACACACACCACACACCACACCACCCCCCCGAATTTCCCGCTAAAGCAGCTCTGCATTAAGAAGGCAAGGGGGACACACACACACACACACGACACACGGACACCGAAGCCCCCTCACCCCATGTCCCCCCCGGCACCCCGCTCCCTGCCCGGGGAAACAACCCGCTGCAAGCGCTAGCAAGCACAAGCTGTCATTTTATTAAGCCGGGAATAAACTCTAATCTTTACCCATTTCGCTGGGG